GCAAAGATTTACCCGTTTTCACATCCCAAATCCGAACTGTATCATCAAACGACCCTGAAACGATCAAATTAGATTGGGGATTGAAGTTTACGCAGAAGACGATATCATTGTGACCCTTGAGGGTTTTGACGCACTCGGCGGAGCGTGCGTCCCAGATTCGAAGCGTACGATCGTCTGAGGCAGAGCAGATGTACGTTGAGTCAGAGGACCAGGCCAAGTCAGAGATTCCATCAGAATGGCCCGTTAAACTGAACAATTTGGTTAAGGTTTCCGAGGACCAGACAATGAGGGTTTTGTCGAGAGACGCGGAGGCGAAAAGCTTGCCGTTTTTTGAAAACTTCACGCAGGAGACGGCTCGTGTGTGGTTCGTGAGGATTTTCTTCAGGCTATACGGCTGGTACGCCTGCGTCGGGTTGCCGTTGTTCGCCATAGCCGTCGAAACCTAGATTCAGGCAGCCACTGTCCAACAAACTAAAAAAATCGAAAATATTATATATTCGATTGAACTCGGTTATCACGATTATGGTCTTATTTTGGGGAATTCAGTAGTAATTTGGCTTTAGGGTTTATTTAATTTTGGGGAAAGTTTGTAGAGGCCTAGGTATTCGGCTGGACATTAGAAGCCATCGAAATAAATGGAAAGCTCTATAAAACTGGAATCGTGTCGTCCCCGACTAAATTTTACAATATTTTATTATTTTGCACCAAATTAAAAATCATCTTCAATCAATACACCAAAACCAAATGAATTGTGTTTAATCATTTTTGTCATTTTATTTATTTAAAAAATTATTTCTCTATTTATTTTATTACTACATAAATTGCTAAATAATTTCACGAAAATATTAAACCTTTATTTGATTCTCATTCTTTCAAAAATTCATTTTCAACTACACATTTTTCAATAAAATAATATACACGTAAATCAAAAACTTTTCTTTAATTTTTAACTACACGTTCTCCATCAATCTACTATTCAAAATACATTATTTCCTTCAAAATGAAAATCAAACAAGGGCTAAATTCATTAACTATTATATTTTTACATTATTAAAATTTATTTTAAATACAAATAATAATAATAATAATGTAAAGCAAATGGTGTTGCACCAAAGTAAAATAGTGCAGAGTTNTCCTCTTCGATGGATGTATAGGTAGATGTAAATGATTCGATGAATATGATAACTATGTTTAAATTAGTTCAATGATAAAATGTCATGTGACATTATGTCAACTTATCTGTTAAGGTTGTGGGCAATGTAATTTGACTACTCCGGTTGTGTTACATATATATAATGGTTTATATAACCTATGTTGGCATTCATTTTCTCAAAAACTCAAGGTGTGTTCTCTTTCATGTTTTTGGCCTATTTTCTATTTTTGATTTTTCAAAACGGTCAAAACGTGTTCTCTTACCCATTTTCGAAAACACCAAAAAAAAATTGTGAAGAAAACGGAAAATGACCAAAATGTCGTTTTGGCTATTTTCTATACAAAACTCCATAAAATTACAAAACACGGAAAACGCCTTTTGAAACACAACCAAATCTTCATCACTTTCTTCAAATCTATGTGACATTATGTCAACTTATCTGTTAAGGTTGTGGGCAATGTAATTTGACTACTCCGGTTGTGTTACATATATATAATGGTTTATATAACCTATGTTGGCATTCATTTTCTCAAAAACTCAAGGTGTGCTCTCTTTCATGTTTTTGGCCTATTTTCTATTTTTGATTTTTCAAAACGGTCAAAACGTGTTCTCTTACCCATTTTCGAAAACACCAAAAAAAATTGTGAAGAAAACGGAAAATGACCAAAATGTCGTTTTGGCTGTTTTCTATACAAAACTCCATAAAATTACAAAACACGGAAAACGCCTTTTGAAACACAACCAAATCTTCATCACTTTCTTCAAATCCATTCTTTGCCTTCTCTGTACTAGACGCCGACTGTGGGTGGTCGACACCGACTATGGATGGTCGCACTCTTCAACCGGCGACGAAAGAGATGTGTCAGTGCCAGCGTGGGGATGCGATGCTGCTCTGAACAGAGCGTCACGACCCAGGGGAGGCGACACTACTGTGGTTTGGGGCCGTCTCTATCGACAGTTGAAGAGAGAGAAGCTGCAGTTCATCGCGATGGTGATCGACACTGCAAATTTCTCCAGACTCTACCTTCTCTCTCTTTTGGGGGGTTTTTTTTGTTTTTTGGATTTGGGAGGCGATGGGTGTTGATGGTGATTTTAATGGTCTGCTTGTGGTGGCAGTGGTTGATGTGGTGGTGGGTTGTGTTAATTTTGGCAGTGGTGAGTGGTTCAGGGTGGTGGTAGTGATTGATGGTTGGTGGTGGCAGTGGTGTTGATTTTGGTCAACGGTAGTGGTGGTGGTTGTCTCTGTCGGCAGTGGTTGATGGTGGTGGACCTGTTGGGAAACACATTTTCCAAAATTTCAAAGAATTTCATTGTGAATACGTTTTTCATTTTTCTATTTTCAAAAATGTTTCTCAAAATGTCAAACAGAACACATTTCCAACAATTTCAAAATACACACTCAAAACGCAAAACTCAAAATGAATTTAAAACTCAAAACTATAAAACTAAAACACGAAGAGAACACACCTTCATTTTTTTCAAAATCAATTTTCAACCACATTCTTTCATAAAATAATATTACACGTAAATTTAAAAATATTTCTTATTTTTTAACCAAATATTCTATAAAAAAATGATTATTCCAAAATACGTTTTCCCCCCAAAATTACATTTTAATAGAGTTCAAATAAAGGAATAATGATTTACATATACATAATTTGATGATGTACGATTGGGTCTGAATTTCTTCAATCAAATAAAAAAAAAACAACTTTCACACTCTTTTTTTGACACTCGTCTTATAAAAATCATTATGTAACCTCATTATGTACAATTAACATTATTCTTATCACAACAAATACTATAATATTAGTTTAGGTAGAATTATGTAATAGGCTCCGTAATGTTACTAGCACCACTAATGCTATGTCAACTTATGTATCATACATATCATAAGGCATTTTAAATGAGGTTCATTTCTCTATTTTAAGATGATGTGTCAATTAATGACATTTAAATAACGCTTAAGCAACAGTAATTTTAAATAACATTACCCCTATTTTTATTAAATAATGCTATCTAGTATGCCTAAATTACGCTTGATATGTTAAATTAAATGAATAGTGTAACATTACATTTAAATAAATCTATCATTTAATGTCATATTATTGTCACCTTGACTTATGTTTGACACCAGTAATGCTCAACTCATTTTTATTTTGTTCGAAGTATTATGAAGGTACGAAAAAGCATTAATTGTCAATAGATTAAAACCCATTGCTAATATAATTATTAAATAAATAGATATATATATATTTATAAAAGTTTAGAAAGTATCTACGTTAAAAACCAAATGGTAAATAAACACTGAACACTGTTTAATCTGGTCTCCAAATTTTTTGTTTCAAAAATAATATATTTTGTTTTGAGTTGGTCATCTAACAGTTATTCAATAATTTCCATTAAGGCATAAATAACAGAGATTGATAGAGCAAAGATTAAATCAGAATAAAGACAATCGAGTCACACTGTCAGAAAAAATTGACCAAAGTCCTGACCGACTCTCACACTATGGTTGGGACCACTTTTTTCTTCCAATTGTTTATTCATGCGAGGCCTGATGCTTGTGAGAGGCGGTCAAAACATCTGTCATCTTTTTTTTTCTGGCAGAGATGCTTTTTCGAGCAAAGATATCTCCTCTAATTGCTTGTACCACCCAGGCTTGTGAGAAAATTTCAAAGTTGCCCACCGGGGCACATCCAAGTTGGCAAAGGAAGGACAGTGCGGGGCTCGCAACCCCAGCGTGAGGAGTTCGATTCCTGGTTGGAGCAGCTGAGTGTTGTAATAACCAGAGGAAGGGTTGGAGCAATTTGGTGATGTAATAACCATGGAGGAGGCTCCCTTGGGGTCAGGAGTATAAAGGCTGTTCGAACCCTAGTCAACTTGAGCACATCCCGCGATTTACCTCCTTGGGCTGCTGAGGGGCCGAAAGTTCAGGGACGAAGATATAGTCTGGCGTAAGCTGGGACACCTCGTTAAAAAAAAAAAAAAAAATTCAAAGTTTGGTAGATTTAGGTGGTCTCGTGCGGGGTCAACTGACCCCAAATACTTTATTTTTATTTTTTACTCACTTTCTAGCTGTCATTAAATTATAATTTTTTTTGAATAATAACGTTGCTTTAAAATTAGTGGAGTCGGCTTGCGAACCGAAACTCCCGACTCGAACTCTGCTCAACCTTTTTTACATTGAGTATTTTTTGGTCCGTGCCGAGCAAAAGCTCAACCAAAAAATTGAGGCTCGACTTGAGCCAAGCTTGGTTGGATTTATTTTATTTTTTTGACTTTTTTTTTTTAAATTTAAACGGGTCGACCTATGTGGCTCGATCGAACTCGAGCCGACTCCCCAAAATGGAGCTCGATGCCTCCAAGCCTCGAGTCGGACCGCTTATGCTTCTTTTGGACAGAGCCACAGACGGCCCGTGCCGAAAAGCCCAATTGTCATCCCTATTTAAAATGTATATTTTAATAGTCGTTGAACTTCATTTTATTTAACTAATAGTTACTATACTTTCAAAGTTTTTCCCTAACTACTTTTAAGTTTTAATATTATTTTCACCTATCATTATGAATCCTTTGAAAACAAATTAACAATTCCATTTATATTATGTCACAAGATTCGTTAATTTAATCCCAACAAAAGAAAACTGAGAAATTTCTAATATTCCTTGAGTATTTTTCTCGTCTTTTTTTTTTTTTTTTAAAGGTAATATTCCTTGAGCATTTGAAACTTGATAGTTGCCAAAAGAAATTTCTAACATTCCTGACGTATTTGAAACTTGATATTCCCGTTGGCAACGTATGTAGTAGTCTATATAATTGTTTTCATTTATGTTATGTTGCATGAAAGAAAATTTATAACTTGACTCTTAGCCCCACAACGAAAAATATAATTCCACATGATTATGGAAGTAGCACACATGCTCCAAAATTATGGCTCATCAGCTTCAATTTCAGAGATCTTTTTAGTTAATAATCAAAAATAAATTATATTTAACGTCAATAAACATAAGTTAAAATTACGTTGGAGTATCTTATACTCCAATACTTCGATAGCATAGATACTATAATTCATGTCAACTAAATGAATTTTGACAAGTGCATCGAAATCTAATTGCAAAAATTTTAGTTGCTGCTTATATGTTATGTCCCACACTTGGAAGTAGAAAAATCCCCTCACAATTTTGACAAGCTCGGGATACCCCTTCGATGGCTTAAATTTCAATAATCATTTGCAAGACTGCGATGATGATGAAACGATGAAATTGCTCCCTCAGCCTTCCTTTAGTGCTTGAGCACTACAATCTACTGCAGCACATGTTCCTGCACAACGAGAAAACCCACATCAATGACAATGAAAGACTAATGAAACCAAACTACTCAAATCCCGGCACAAGATCTGTCTCTAAAAGCTCGCTGAAGCATAAGAAATCAATCTTCAAGGCTTCTACATTTGTTAATTTATCAAGTCCAACTCAATATGTTGAAAAATAATGACTTAGAACACCAAGTTATCAGAGCTCAAATCGTGCATGGATAGGCTAAAGCTCTCTAGATATGAATCCTAACTCGAACTCAATTTTAAGCTCATTAACAAATTGAAACCAGCTTCAACAAATTATTGTTCAACTTGACTTTGCTTGTTTACACCCCTAGGAGCAGGTGGAATTGACGTGTTGATACCCTATAAAACAGGTTCCAATGAGGAATTCCTTGTTGACTGATTGAACAGCCCATTGCCGTTTCCTAGCATGTTGCAAATTTTGCACTGTATGGAGAAAATTATGCGATCAGATTTGAACAGTGTATTGAGATCGACTTAAAAGATATGTTCTACCAGATTGAGTGATTAAACTATGTTCATGACTGTCAAAGACAGGAAGGGAGAGAGAGAGAGAGAGAGAGAGATACCAAGAATATACGGTGGTCATGCTTAACCAATCTTCATGTTCAACTGTCTCTATAAGTAATCGACTTCATCTGAACTTTCTTCTTGAATTGCATGACTGGAACTTGGACTACCCTCATTGCCACTTCCTTGATCACTGTTGTAACTGCTATCGGATGAACTTGTAAACAACCCATCAGACGTATGACTACTCAACAATGAAAGTGAATTGACATCACTATTCATGTCACTGCTGGTTGTCTGCTCTTCAAGGAAACTGCGTAGCAGAGACAAGAATCCCAAATGAATAAATTGATGCTTAAATTTCATAGGCATATCGACAAAGTCGAAGAATCTTTACTCACCTTCCTTCTGCAGGGAAATCTGCCACAATTTTCAGATTAGGCCTCTCTTCCAATACTTGCTCTAATGACATGAAACTGCATAGTGTCCCATATGACTGTTAGAATAAATGGACACAGCAGGTTATATATACTTAGTGGTTCTGGCAGGCTAGAAATAAAACTACCCTGTGGTGAAAGATCGATGATACCAATCGCCATCAGATGCTAAGCCCTCACGATTGGATATGTCCTGTTCAGCCAAACCATTTACCCAGGTTAGAGCCTCCAAAATTGATATAAGAGGTGTCTAAGACACAAAATAAATGAAGAGAAAGAGGAGAGAGTGCATTTTAGCAGAGAGAGAGAGAGAGAGAGAGAGAGAGAAGGAAAAACAAAAAGAGTTTTTAAACCCACAAGATGTGTAAGGTGCTTGAAGCGTCCTGCAAGAATTGCCGACAGCAACCGTGAAACCTCCATCTGGATAACACAAGTTATTAATTAATTGAAAAGGTACTATTCTCTTCTTTTTATGCAAATGTATATGGAAGAAGAAGCTGTAGCCCTTACTTCCCTCAAATGAATGCAATCCCGTAAAATCAACACCTCCAGTGAGCTTCCACCAAGATTCCTAGAGAAGATAGAAGGTAGAACGATAAAAGATATGCATGGAATCATCAAAGGTACACAGAGATACAGACATACTAGATGCACTGTCCTGGAGCATCTGGAAGACACTAGTTCACAGAAGAAAACAAACCTAAGAAAGTCACCAGTGATTGAGTAGGATGTTGAAAAGTCAGCATGCTTCAATTTGCGGAATCCCTGCAAGGAGATGCCATGCCGGTTTAAGATACAATCATAGAATGTTCTTTGGACAAGTGCCTAGCAGCATGACCAATACATTCAATCGGTTATGAATTTCATCGATACATTTATGACATATCCATGAAACAAGCATGCAAACTAAGCCCACGGGATAGAGTCACATCTTTCATGAGGAAATTTTTCCATTAGCTCATGCCCTAAAACAAGCAGCATGTGAATGCTGTGACACCTTTAAGGTTGACCAACACAAGTACTGATTAGATTTGGCCACAAGGAGCTACACATGAACCCTTCTACACAAAATCATAGGCCCAGGACAACATTATTTGGGCTGACAGCTAAAAGCAAATTTATAAGGGTGCACAAAAGGGGCTCCAATGGTTGTTATTGTTACTTTGGAGGGAGAACATGACAAATTCATAAGTACGTAAACCAACCCCCTTCACGGGGTGAAAAAAATGGGAAAAAGAAAAAAGAAAATTTGTAATTATATTTGAGCCACAAATTACTAGCAAGCAGGTCATTTTTTAACCAACATCGCAACACAAATCTTCTTCAGTTCAGTTGAGGCACCATATCTTCATTTAAGATAATTAGATACTGAACTTGGCATCTCTTCTAATTATTTCAACAATACCACTTCCTGCTAAGGAATCTTATAAATCAGGTCACTCTACCTAGCAATGATAGTCAACACCTTTGAGAAACAAAAGCCTACTCAGTCCCTCCAAGTGAAGGCAAAGACGAACTGAACAACAGGAAGAAGCAGAAGCAGAAGCAGAAGCAGCTAAGCCTTAAAAAACAAAACAGAACAAAGAATTTTCTCAAGAACTGGAACCTGAAGAACATCTATATAATTATAACACCTACTGGAGCATGATTATCATTCCACATATTTGTACAACACACATCATGACCATAAATTCCTAGTATCTAACAAAGTATCCATGAATTCTGTTGTCTGGCCCTCAGAACTTGCTAATTGATATCCATAGACTGCTCTATATTACACAGGTAGGTAGAGACCAAGCAATAAAGCAGCAACTTTGTTTACAAGACTTAACGATACCAATGGGCAATGAGAAATTACCATCAGAATTTACTACCTAACCCAGTTTCAGTTTAAATAAAAAGTCTTACTTCACAGCCAAGGAAAAAGGCTTGCATTATGACTTAAAAATTGAATTCAAGGAGAAACAAAATCCACAACGTCTGTCATCTACTAACATATTACCACACCTTGACAAGTACACGAGCTTTAAAGTCGTGCAATTTGAATCCTCTGAGTGCCAATGAAGTTAGATGGGGACAATTGTTCACAAGATCATTGCATGTTGGCAATTTCAAACTATCATCTCTACCTGAAAATAAGTATGTCATAAGTATAATGTTTCTCTGGAATTGAAATTGGCTAAACATAAGTGGGGTAAAATGCACCTGTTTTGGATGATTCAAAAAACAGGCGCTCTATCAGATGACAATGTCTGCTCACCGACTCCAGCGTCTGCCTCAGTTCAACATGACTATCACAAGAAAATGAATTCTCATAAAAAGTAGTAAGAGTTATCTTTTGTTACCAAGGTAACTGGTAATAAACCACATTAATACAAGCTTAGAAGGCAGATAAATAATTTTTAGAGATCAACTGAGGTAACTTTTTGAATGAATCAAAGATAATAATCATTTAACCTTTGCAGGTACCAGTAAGGGTCATGGCCATCATTTCCCATACCATGGGCCATAGAAAGGCCCAGTCCCTTATTCCACCAATAGTTGGCAATAGTTATAAATAAACAAAAAGATAAAACAGACACATCAAGACCAATACCAAGAGTAACATGACCGTGAAGTCTAGCCATATACTGCACCATTCATAGTATTACCACAAGGCTGCCAGCATGTAATAAGTACGGATACGGATAAGGATACGTAATTTGAATATGATATGAGTACGTCGATATGGTTTTTTCAAAATAAAGTTAGGATACATGGATACGTGTTATAAAATTTACCATAATTTCATTAATATAAAAAAAATTAAAATGGAAGCATAATAATAAAAAATAAAATAAAATAAAACATTAAAACATTAAAACATTTGAGTTTAATCCTTAATTATCCCAACTCCATTTTCTTCAACATGAGCTCTTCATTATCATTAAAAATAACAATCTCCAACTTTGGCTCATCTAATGATAGATTAGCAAAATCGAACAATCCAACAACTTTAAGAGCATCAAATAAGTCTCCGATAATGTCATATATTTTGGATTCTCCTTCTGAATAAAGATCTAATTTTCTTTAAAAAAAAATTGCAGATTGCTATCGATGCACCCATTCTTCAATTCCTTGTGAAATTATTCATTATCATGAAATGCACGAAAAAGTACGTACTCTAATCATTTAATACTAGTTACTATCTATTTTCAATAATAAAAATATATTTGTCAATTATTAACACAGTTGCACATGTAATAAAAGACTAACAACATTGTGTATTTCCAATAAAAAGTCTAGTTGTTAATTAATTTAGAACTCTAATTGGTACTTTCAATAAAGTAAAAAAATCTTTTTCAATCTATAGTCAATAACAGTGAGTTTTAAAAAAGCTTAAAATCAATCATACGCTTCATGTGTCCTAATGTATCGGATATGTATCGATAAAAATTTAAAAACATAAAATAATAAAAAAAAATACGTATCCATACTTATTGAAAATTTAAAAAATATAAAATAAATGCCTATTCTATCAAATTAAATGTCTCAAAATGAGTATCCGCCATCTAAAAACTCTTTTTCCCGAGTTTCCCTGTAAATACTCTATTAGAACAAAGTGAAAGTAAATAATTTTTTTGTTAAAAGCCCTGCAAAAGTTAATTTGGAAAAATAATTAAAAAGAACTTTGTAATTTAACACTGGTTTTACATAATCTTTTTGATATATGTACAAAGTTGCACAATAATGTTGTTGGGGATACCTAGAATTGCAAGTTATTAAGCCGTAATTCCCTGAACTCAAGCATAAAAGTCTTCTCATCTAGTTCAGTGATTATTAACATTAAGAATTATATACTGAATCATCCTCATCAAACTAACAGAAATAATTGCTTAACCACTATAGACAGGTAGTTTGACAAATTCTGGAAACTAGATCACATGATGCATATAAAGTCAAACTCCTTCTACCAAAAACGTGAACCAAAAAAATAGTAAACGAAGTGAAATGTCCCCTAGGTTCTAATCTATACAAACTAAGAGTTCCTCTGACCAAGTCCTTTCTTCCCTATCCTCCACGCTAAAAAATGTAAATATTAACAAACAGTTCTAGAAATCAAAACAAACAGTTCTAGAGTCTAGACAGTTGATGTCTCTATTTTTACAAACCTGCTAATCATCCAGCAATGCCGAACAAAAGGGACTAAAATCTGAAAGCGTAATTATTAAGTATATATTAAAAAATGTATTCAGTACACATGAGAGCATGTATAAGCATTCAAAATACAATGGAAGAAACAAGTAATTTCATACTTACAGGCCAACAATTTCAAGATCAAGCAGAGAGGGGCAAGCAGATAATGCTACACCAAATGCTGTGTTGTCCATTCTTTCAATATTGTAAAGGTGTAACCTTCTCAAAAGCGCCCTTAAAATGGTGGAAAAAAAGACACGCTTAATACATAAACAACAAACATACAATGATTAATAGCGTCAAAGCTTCATTTGTTACCCTGGAGCACCACCATCAGCAATCAATGGTGCCAAGCAAGACCTTGAAAGAATAAATGACTCTTTACCCTGTCTAGACCTCTTATCATTCCACGAAAATCCTGATGCATCCGTTGTATTCCTCATGGAATAAACAAGAGCTTGAGAAGTACCAACTGATGAATTAGGGGAGCTGGGAACAACCCCGAGCTTAAGAGACCTGTGTACATTAAAATGCCAACACGATTGTAAGGACAAACACAAAAATTTCTCATACGTGAAGAACTTTCAGAAGCACGGATACTATTGGAGCCATGTCTTCAGCAGAAATAGAATTTCACAAAAATTACGAGTCTGGCTGCTGTGTCTGTACCAAGAGATGCTTAGATACCAAATGGAATATGCACGGTAACAATATATGAAACTTCAGCTTGAAGTAAAAATGGGTACAGAAGAATGGACCAAAAGAGGCTCCATTACGGGTAAGTTCCATTCAAGGTAACTATACTTTTACTCTAGTGTCAATTAGGAAACTGTATTTCAATTTTATTCAATTGGGTAACAAGACTTAATTTGATTTTAATATGGTAATTGAATTGACGGAATAGGTCACATGTCAATCAACGACGATAGTTGTCAATTATGTCACTGCAGTATCACTTATTACACGTTTACAATTGTAGGCCATGTGTAATGACCATCATTTATTAACTACTACCACGTAATTGGTATCCGTAAGTGGAATTGTTTGGAGTTATTTTAATTTTAATCAAACTAAAGTATAGTTAATTGATTAAAATTGTATATCTCACGTGAATGGAATTTACCTATTGCAACACTAAATGAAGCTTAGGTAATTTAAGGTGCAGTACTCCCATTGTTACACTTAGGACAGTTGAGTGTCATTTCTAAGATACATGACACAGAGCACGGATACTTATACAGGATAAATGCACATTTTTGTCAAGATTCCTGGAACATGTAGCATGATGGAATCCAGCCCAAGTTGTGAATATGTAATGACTACAATGTTACAGCTACTCCCACAAAGAACTTCAGTCGTCAAGCTAATTGAATATACTGGGTAATATCCAACTTTTCTATTTATATACGGGTGTACCGTACCGTACCGTAGAACTTTTCCAGCACGTTGAATCATCGTTGAAACGACCATATTGTTGACCTTTGGGACTACCGTTGTCAAATCAATATTAGAATAACATAAAGGGTCCACAGCACACTTCCGGAAAAAGGAGCATGAAGCTGCAGCATGACATACACTTTGTGTATCGAGCAAAGAAAAAACCTGCAAAAAAGGAAAACGTGCAACAAACTTATTAGATCAAACCACAACGGTATAGTCCATATTAATCATGATAAAAAAATTTAACCCCAAAATAGACCATTCACAATCTCCGGAGTGAAACGCATTTAAACAGTTATACACACTGATAACATGGATCACCTAATAATTAAGAACAAGAAAAGTAAGAGTGATCCATGTACATGTAACTGGCCAATATCACTGACAAATTCATGGAACAAAAAACAGTGAATAAACACTGGAAACCAAAAGGCAAAAATAGTAACAAAATCAACACTGGAAACCTGAAACACACGCGCGAGCACAAAATGGCATTAAATATGCCGTAGCAGGCATAAAATTATACTTAAGAGATTAATACGAGGTATTAAAAAGATAAAGAAATTGCAACAGTTTTAGCTCAACTTGAAGGCTCACGATATTTCAATTGGTTTTCAGTTGACAAATGGTTTAATCCAACTAATAGATTGCAAGCCCTCCAATTAACTATCACTAAGAACGATCGATGATCCAGATTAGTGATTTTAAGATGCAATTGAGATTTTCGATAATTTTAAAAATCAATTACAAATTATACGAACTTTGATAGTGAGATCGGGAGAGAGGGCCCAAGCGACGGAGTTATGCATGGAAGCGCGTTTTCTGGTGGATCTCATGGCGGCTTCGGTAAGTGCGGATCCGAGTCGGAGTGCGCGTCCTATCATATCATTTTTGTCGGATTCGCAAGCACTGGAATCGAGTATGCGGTCAAGCGCAAGGTCCAGATTGACAGTAGATGAATCCAAGAGAGCTAAAAACGATTCCAGAAGCATATCGACGGGATTTTGGTTCGGGATTGGTATGGGTCTAGGCTCGGGGGAGCAGCAAGGACGCTTGGGCTTAGGCTTGGGGGAGGTGGCGGCCACGGCGGAGCGGTCGAGGAGTAGAGTGGCGTCCATAACGAGTGGCGTTGGTAGAGGAATGAGGATGAGGATGAGGTTGAGGTTGAGGTTGAGGTGAGGTGAGGTTGGGGTTCGGGGTGCTAAATAAGAGAATCAAGTAACACGTGGGATCTGGAATATGTGTACGTGGAAGAAGGAAATGCGTACTCCATGGAGTGTATTGCGTCACGGCCCACCGAGTCTAGTCCACCGAGTCAACTCTTGAGTTTGAGTGATCTCAGAGTCATTTTTACAATAAAAAATAATCAATATTTGCAACCGCCATCCTATAGCAAACAAACCCTTGGGACGTAATTAATGGACCAAACATGTCCTACATGTATATTTGGTTGTACTTTCAAATTATTTATTTTTTCTGATGCTCTTACTCACTTTCCTCATTGCGACTTAAACGGCCTAAAACTTGCGAAAGGTGGGAAGTTACACAGTAGGGGAGGTGCGTGGAGGCCAATTGTTAGGACTCTTATCGAGAAAATGGCAAAGGCACAAGTGATGTCTTGACTGATGCCTTGTCATGGTCGAAGGTGTGTGTGATATTCAAATAATGCGTAGATTCGAGAAGGAACGAAGCAAAACATTTGGGTTGGTTTCGGGATGCAACAGTAGTTGAATCACAATGATACTAATTTACTTGATGGTAGTATCGCAAGACGGAATTTGGTGATGTAGGTTAGATTTGGCATTGATCAATGTGTTGATATGAGCGTGTGTTCGACAACGTAGGACCCCATTGATTTAGTATCTTGTTTTAGCAACTAAAGATTGTACATGTGTTGCCTCTCCTTCTCCACTTAGGGGTGATTTAAATGGCATTAAACCTGCAAGAGATGGCGGGGAACTTGGTGGCCACAACAGGTGAGTAAACATAGGAAGAAGCTTTTGAACAATTTATGTAGCGTGGGTATGTGTAATCTCTATGCTTAGGTAATTATTCTCTATTTATAGCAGCATTTATGGATGACGTGTCTTCGTGTTACATAGTGAATGCACACACGTGCCCTTGTTCTTTCCTAAAAATTAAGGCGCTAATAAAGGAATATTCGTGTACTTAAAATAGAGCGTTGGCCAAATGGCTGGTTATAATGGTAATAAATATCTAAGTTGAAATTTAGCAAGGTAATTCAAATAAGAACAATCATACAAGTCCATTGGTCGGATTGCATTTTAGTTAGGGGTCGTGATCGATCAACGACCAATCTTCAATCCAACCAAATATGAAAAGTCATCAAGTTGACCATGGAGAATCATCCGATAGGTGATCCTTTAACTGTTATTAGCATGACAAGCTCTTTTAACATCACAAGTCCCTTTAATTCTCGAGGACTTTCATGGTTGAGGGGTAACGGGTACCTAATAAGATTTGTCAAATTGTAATTTGATTATTTTGAATGAAGTAATTATACGTATAAAATGAGAATGATCTACATGTGATGTGACATAAATTAATAAGATTAATAAAGTGGATTTTTATATTCACATATTTAATTGACCTTTTCGTTTCACGCCACATCACCTATCACATCACGTGGAGATCATTCTTAATTTGTAAATATATCATTGGACTTGGTTTGATATTGTCGGATTCTAAAAGAATCAAATTTTGTTGTGCTAAAGAAAAAATCATATGCAAGAACAATCAACTTTTGACGTACTAAAGAAGGTGTCAGCTGCGAGAATAATGGGCTAAATATTTGGTAAACTTTTGTTTCAGAATTGTTATACATTTCAAAATTTTTATGTTCGATATTTAAAAGTGATTTATATTTGTATTTATATACAATTACTAAAATGTACAACAATAAAAATATCGTTAAATAATTTTTAATATAATGTATTAATATTGTTGTTTTAGAACTAAGAAAATAGTATTATAAAAAATAAAAGCATGATCCTTATATTAAAAATGTATGCGAATAATTTTAATAATTAAAGGATGGATTGTTTTTGGAATATAATTGGTATTTAATTATAGATTTTTCTCAAAAGCACAAAGTACGACTAGGCATGAAGGTCAAGTTTCAAGTTTTACAAGCCTATACAAGGCCTGTGCGTAAAAAAGTGTTGCTTATTCTTATTCTTATTTTAAATACTTGACCATTTTAAAAATATTTATAATTAAAATAATACATATCAAATATCTAAAATTATAAAACACTGCTTTTACTTAATAATTCATACAATTAGTAAAATATACAATTTTCAAGTGTTCGAAATTCAAAAGCTAGACTATTTTTCATAATTTCAACTTTCAATTAAACAAGTCCTACTCAATTGATTTATAGGAATTCCATACATACTTTCAAAGTTTTCCACAAAACAATAAGTCTTGAAATCATAATTACGTATTATAAATAGACTGTATCTTAAATCTTGTCTAACTCTTTATCGGATAAGTCATGTTTTATTTCTGTAAAGATGAAGTCATTTAAAATTTGAAATTAAAGTCAAATAGAAGTCTTTAAAAAAATTTAATAAACTAAAGTCAAATAAAAGGTTTTTAAAAAAAGAGAAATAATAATAATAATAGTTGCAGTGGTAATAAGGTGCGCCTAGCGGTTAACTTAGCAATTGATAGCTTAATTTGCTTTTACTACTAAGGCAAAGTGTTTTGTCCGCACCTCGCTTCTAGGCACACGTTATAGAACATTGATATATAATGGAAAAGTTAAAAGCAAAACATGAAAAACTATCATTTTGTTGCTTTTAAAAATTCTACTGCCAAATGATATAGACTATTTTTAATAAGTTTTTCATAAATTTGTCAAACACCAAAAAAAACTTCAGATTGTTAAGTAATCAGATGTTGGTCTCTCAAATTGAGCCTAGATTTTTTTCAACATTTTAGGTACCAAACCTTTTCTGAGGCTTTATAATTAGTTATTTCTGCAGTGTTCTAAAACGAGTAAAGGGTGGCTAAGCATGAAAGTCAAGTTTCAACATTTATGAACCTAGGTGAGATCTAGGGGTAAAAAAAACATTTTGATAATTTTAATATTATTTTAAATTTTTAATCATTCCAAAAGTCATTCAATAATTAAAATAATACACACCAAACGTCTAAAATTATAAAATACTATATGATTTAATAATTTCTACAATTAGTCAATTACACATATTTTAAAGGAAAAACTTGAAACTAAAGTTATATAAAAGGATTTTAAAAAAATAAAAAAAATTAATAAAGCGAGACTATGCATTAATTTCATGCTTACTATAAAGGTGTGATATTTTGTCCATGACTTGTGCCTAAGTAAGGCATAGATACGTTTCTTAGAACACTACTTTTCAGTGAGACTATTTTTACTTTCATGCTTCATAGGTTGTATGAAATCTTTTTTAAATTACACAGCACATTTTTCTTTAGGGTACATGCAGTTATTTTAGGAAATGTTATCATGGCTTCACTACATAGTTGATATCTTTAGTACATTTGAGGACTTTCACTTATATAGCAAGTAAATATCGAATTGCCAGCATTTCATTTGAGTAGTTTGGATTTTGAGGGACTGGTGTACCTTGTTTTATATTATATGTATTGATTTGAGAAAACTGGGTATTGATCAGGTGGTTTTAGCCCATATTTTAGAGGTGACTATCAAAATTTTTCTAAAAATATTGCATAGGTAAAAGAAAGTCAAAGTTGCTTTGGTGGTAGATCCGACATTTATGTTGGTATCTACTATCGGCGCACGACACGTGCCGGATCCATTAAGGTGATTCGGGATGGGTCGTGTCAATTGGAGTTTTTTTTTTTTTTTTTTAAAATCAAAAGTCATTAAGCTCGCCAATCTGTAAGTTAACCAAATGTAGTGTTAACATATTGTCCTTTCATAATTTCAATATGAATTAGATCATTAATATATAGCTGGTATATGAGATTTGATTAATCTCTTTGATTGGTAATTACATTTAAATGGATTATTTTTCGAACTTATGTTTCTAATGTCTTGTGCGAGGATCAAGAAGTCATAACGATGCATTATTTTGTTTTTTTGTTTTTTTCCAACTACTTGATTCCTCCTCTTTATGCTGAGAAAATCTTATCAAAACGACAGTCAATAAACTATGTTGTAAAAGATCACCCTCAAAGATGATAATGAATTTAGATACAACATATATTACTATTATTTATTAACAATCACACTAGATAATCTAATTGTTCATGTTAAATAATAAAATATCAAGGAAAATTGAACGTATGGTTTAATATAATATTTGTTTCAATTATACTTATATTTATACAATACAACTTGTAAGTAAAATATATGTTTTTACTTATTATTTATTTATTGGTTTGCTTAAATAAGAATGATTTTTAATTGTCAAAGCATGTGCCAAATGCATTTTCAAAAGTAACGTCCAAAGACAAGGTAAGTTGGTCAACCAGAACTGATTGGGTGCTACAGGTTAACAAAGTTCTACTTACGATCCTACAGGTTTTCTAAACCCTAAACAAGTTGAAACTCTTACTTACCTTATAGCAGCATACACAAGGATATACACTTACCATTTTGGACGGGGTTAATTGGTCAAGTAATTAAGCACTTATTTGATCTCTATTATTTTTAAAATATATTTCTCTTTTTTTCTTTTCAACCACATATTTTTTAATAAAATAATATTATATGTAAATCTAAAACTTTTCCTTATTTTTTAATCACATATTATCCATCAATCTACTACTATAAAATACATTCTGCACGAAAAATTGGGCTCAAACAAACTCTAAAAGAATGAAAGATTAATTTAATTAATAAAAACTTTCCTTAGTTTAATTATTAATCATATCAACAGCATTTTACTAGATTCTTGCCGTGCATAACATCTTTAATTTAGGTAATAGATGTTCAGGCCTTGTGGGAGTCTTTATATAAGTGAAGAGGGTAATTTAGGGTCGAACAAGTTTTGAGAAAAATTGTTTTTGACATCCGACTAACTTGCAGTTCTATGTTCAAAGGTATTATGAATTACTCCGGTGAGTTCTGATCAATTGGAGTTGCGTTGAAGTATCTTGAAGTACAACCCATGTTCTTCAACCGTATAGAACATACTCAGAGTGAATGACATA